TCTATACATTTTCTTTCGAGAGTACGTTACATCTAACGACTTCAAAAAGCTTGCTGTGGCGACAGGAGGCAACTTTGATATCACGTATTACCAAGGAGAGTAACGTAGTAAATATTGGAATGGATTTATTATTATTCACGGTGGTCGGACGAAACCTTTGGCATAGCTCGATTTTATTTACAAATGAATACAGCAAATGCGGACGAGCTTCTCCGAAAGGAAGCTACTGTAGATTAAAGAAATCAGTTTGCATGAAACTACTGCGTGGTTGAAATGGTACATAACAAGGGAGAAGGAATCAGTTCTACGATCCTTTCCAACATCCCTCTTTAAAAGGAGCATCTCATGAAGTTATTACTTAGTATATGAATATTCTGCTATTTTCGCTCATCAAGCTTATAATTTCCACCATAAAATAGGTACTTTTTGGCTAAACTGGAGACTTTCACAATTAAGATATTTTTGAACTCAATATCGGAGAACAACTGAATTGTAAATTCGTTTTATAATCCAGCAAAGGCGATAATTAAATTGCCCGTAACTATTCGTCCTGAGTACAGAAGTTATCACCAAATCTTATTGCTGAATTTTAAATCAAGTAATGTCATGTTTAATGGTATTTCATTTGTTAAAATATTTAGGCGTGCAAAGGGCTCCCTCGCTGCCAATGGCGGTCATCTACTGCAGACAGATAAGACTCACCCAAGGAAAACGACAAATAATTCTACACTATAATTAATTGACTCTTCCATTTTCCAATTAAAGCACTCAGCTTTGACTGGCATCGGGTATTTTCTGCTTAGACAGGAAATAACTTTGGTTTTAGTTTAGTAAACGTTAAATTAAGAATTTATCAAGAAACTCATAGTTCAAGACATATCTTGAAACGTGAGATTTCTAAGGTTCACTCTATCTCCTTTCGTTTGAGAGAAAGGAAACATTTTGTCCTATAACTACCCTTATAACGTCTCTGTAGTGAACAAACTACGACTAGATATCAGAATAGAGCAATTAAAAGCGATTTCAGTTTTAGAATTGTCGTTAGATAGGTAAATGGTTTAGCACAAACACAGACAGAAGTTTTCAGTGATTTATGACCTCTTTGCGAAAGTATAATTATCTTCACCTCTGAGTAGTTGAGCAATTATTGCCTTTGACGGAATTGGTCTACTTTCTTATATGTTGTACAATAATTTGCAACCGTCAATCAAGATTTTGCAGCACAAATGTGAAAGGTTTGGCTGCCATTGAAGTAAAGATTGAATTGAAATTATTTTGAATAGGAGTTGCTCACTAGTTGTGTAAATAGGTGTTTGATGGCAAAGCGCCGCTTCATTTTTGAGTTTACTTATTATTCATTTCTACTCTCATTGCAAACTTTTCATCCAAATTTCTTGTAGGCCTTTCCTCATCAAGGACAATTTCTTCTCCATCACACAAAGTACGCTGGCTGTTTTCGTTTGCATTTGCAGTTACGGTTCCCTTTGTTGTCAGACAAGATGGCTTCCCGCGAGTTTCAGTGATTTATGAACCCTGACACGTCTTAGACGATCGTCTTTGGATGTCAAAAGAGTTAAATTTAGATTTTCACTTAAAGTTCTGAACGAAATTATTACTTAGAGATGAGCGGAAACAGTCAGGGTACTGCTTGTCTGGATAAGAAGGAAAACCGTGACTGTTATGGAGAGTTTTTTAATGAAAATCAATGGCTGCTTTGTATCGCACATTTGAGCTGTCTTTGGAGTGGCACTGTCACTACTGTTTTGTGGACAATATTGTGTAATTTTTTTATGAGGAAGTTATTCTCCTAAATTCTTACCAAAGCTGATAGGCAAGTATTTTATATAACTATGATAAGAAGATGGAAGTGCCATCAAAATGGCGTACTCTTTTCTAATGGAAAGAATTCACTTCGTTAAGTTTAAAACGTTGCCTTTAACTTAGCTTTAGGACTTTGTTTCAATTAAAGAATCTATCAACACAATTTCTCTTTTACTGAAGTCGAATGCCGTAGAGTGCCCATAGAAATAAATAAAGACAGTTTAAAATAGAAGAGTTCAGAAAGACAGCTCCTAAAGCGTGCCTCATACTTCCCTTACGCTCGTAGAATTCACGACTAAAACAGCGACAAACAAGGTATACATAGAGAGACGTATGAAAATATCTTTTATTACCTACAGGAGAGTAACATCTAACAAGTGCTATGTGACCTGTATTTTAAAGTTATCCTTCGAAGCAATAAACGTAGAAAACGAGAACATATCTGAAACTGTTTGGCGGAATCATGCATGGTCGGTGGTATTCTGGAATGCGACTAACAAGATAGCGGAAAGGCGAAGGTGAAAATTTTTCGGCTGTGAATCTCTTAAAAAACAAAGAAAATCTCACCGACTGTCTGTGTGCAGTAAAACAGCGCGCTTGCTGTGCACTAAAATGAACTTCAACTGACTTTGTGAATGGATCGAGTATTTGTACAAACTCCATATTGCAGCGTTAGCGGCAACAAACGAAAAATTACATTCAATAAATAATTTCTTGCGAGGAACTCTAAAGACGTAAGCTCTTCCCAATACTATTCACACCTTTAACAAGGAGAAAGGAAATATGGTGTCGATTGGCCTTTTGAAATGGATTAACACTGGATTAGAAACGCGAAAAGGCGGAAAGGTACTGATCCTTGCTAACAAGAGTTCCTTCCATTAAATAACGCTCAAATTTGTACAATGTTACCATAATTAACATACCGCAATGTCCACAAAAGATTGGTCTCCGTATTGAACGAGACTTGTTCGTACCGTTGCTTTCTGTTCACACTATCAGTGAAAGTTTTCAGCTTGACACGCTTGACGAACGGGCGGTGAATGGCAGAGAGGGGAACAAGACATTATGTGTCGCTGTGTTTCTTGGGTGTCCATAAATCGCGGACTAGTTTTCTCGGAGCCTTCATTAACTTTTTCATCTTTTTTCCATTTCATTCGACGGTTTTGAAACCAGATCTTGACTTGTCGTTCAGACAGACTAAGGGTCTTTGCAATCTCGCTCCTTCTAGAACTGCACAGATACTTGTTGAAGTGAAACTCTTTCTCCAATTCTAGAAGCTGCTTGTTCGTATAACTCGTTCTGTGCCGCTTCGCTTGTCTCTGGCCTGAAAATTTGAAATAAAGGAGACATGAAAAGAAAGCTCTCATTGAAGAAAAGCAAAGCATTTTTAAATGACAATATGCGAGGGGAAACAGCTAGCGTAAACGAACTGTCCAAGGCCATGGGTTCGAACGCAATTTTGAAAATCAGAACTAAATGCTGGTGTGAAATGAATAGAAATTTGAAAAGGCAATTTAAAATAGAACAATGACTCGGAATCCCACATCTAAGAAACGACTTACTTTATAAGTAACAGTTCTCTTCCGCCCCAATTGCTCAAAGTTCAAGCTTTAAATTCGGGTAAAGGAAGATTTCACTTCAGATCTAATGGGATGTCTATTTGTTATTCAATAGGCACATGGTCCCATAATCAAACAAACTCTCTCACCAATGAGAACGTCTCAACATGCTAACAATGTCAGGTAGATGTTTGCAAACATCCCCGTGTACTGCCTGTTACAAATGAATGTCAACATGCGATCTTTCGTTAGCATCTATTAGCTCACCGAGCAACAAAATTAGCTCAATGCGGACTTCATTAATCAGAAGAGACATCTTACTCTTCAAACCTCCGCCCTTTTGACAGAAGAGATACTCAATATTATATAATAGAGGACAAACGAACCATTCTAAAATCTCGAAAAGGTCATTCAATGTTTGCAAGTCAACTATTGAGTCGTCGTGCGCCAAGTGAATGAAGGAAAACCGGATTAGCTTTGTTCCGCTTTCTTCTAAGCCGCAGGAAAAAAAAAAAAAAACCTCCAGATTTCATCTCACGCTAAAAAGCTACGGACAAGTTATCCAAAAGAAAAATAAGGTTATCAGCAGTTGCCAAAAAGATGACCTACCAAATCCAAAGTCCGATTTACCGCCTTTCTTTGACTTCATCCACGGATAAATTGGCTGAAGGAGATAGTCTGGTATCGGCGTTGTTTGATGAGACAAGGTCGTTCTTGTGTCTTCACCATGAAAGCTCTGTCGTGATGGCGGGGTGTTGTAATTTTGGCTTGAAGTTCTCCGGGTTGAAACTTCTAGAAAGGGAAAATAATTCCCTGTCAAATTGATTTGGCGCTCAAATGTCGAGGACAGCTGCGAAGTGTATTGCTGAGCATAAATCTCTGCCGATGTTGGATAAAGCAACGGACGGGCCATGTTTGTCGAAGATGATTTATTTGGGCCTGACATCTTAACCCTTAACAACATGAGTTATGACAAATCGACTAGTGGAGGGAGTTTTTACCGCTTCACGTGACCCATTTCCACCAATCAGAATCAAGTACCACTCTGGGTTCATGACCTCAACGTTGTCGAGTGCAGAGTACTTGGTGGGTAATTTTTCATGCACCTTCTGCACATACATTAAACCAGACAACTTGCTAAACAGACGGTGAAAACTCAAGCGGAGAGGAGTGTCTCCTACTCTGCACGCACTACAGGCCCTTATTGACGATTTTTCTTTGAAGTACTTTAATGTCATTTTTAGCCATATTGAAAAGCTTTCCCGGGGATCTGAATGAAACACAACACTGTAACAAGTGTTAAGATAACCTGCAATAAATCTTCATGGCAATTGAGCCATAAATCTCCGTCAGTCTCTTTGATCAGTATCCCGCGAGGAGGAAAACGCTAAGGGGCGGTGCTAAAATACTGGCGGTCGGTCTACAACTATTTCAGCACATGACACAAACGGAATCTTTTATCGCGTGTTCCAAATGGAGTCTCGCTGGCGCAAATGTTTTTCATTTGTGGAATCACCTGTTGACCTATGATTAATAACCTGCCAGTCAGTCACCATATTGACTTTTATAGTAATGCCGCTTGCGCGTTGGGGATTGTAAATAAATACAAACACTCAAGGTTGTACTTAGGCCAAAGTTCTTCAATCAACGTTACGAAGCGATTGGCTTCGAACAATGCTAACTCACTATAGAGACTCGATGACATGAAAACTTGCCGTAAGGAATTTATCACCTGCGTTAGCTTTAAATTGGTATGTAAGTAGGGTTAAGGACTTTATGGGAATCTCCCCGCATGGCGAAAAGATTTTGCACTGATCATATTTTCGTTTAGCGCCTTTAACACGAAAGAGGGATTTAAATAGGACAGTCAAGTTTATTGGGTTTCTAGGCCACCAGAAACCCTAAGGCCCTAGGCCCTAAAATAATAAATGTTGCGTTCTTACAAACAAATAATTCTTGTTAACTTCTAGTGAAATTATTAGGTATATTATTCTAGCCAGCTTTCTATGGTTTGTTATTTTAAAGGAGCTTCGTCATCCGAGTGTTATTCTAACATCCATGTGATGTTTTGAATAACAATTTTTGTGATGACCGACGAGATCCTAGTCAACGATTATCATAAACTCGGTTAAGACTGCGCCTCCTTTGCTACGCAATTTCAGAATTGAACGTACAAAGCATGCACGAAGTATGCATTCTATACTTGAACTGCAAACGAATGATCGCGGCATCCATTCTTAGACAATTGTATCATCAACTTCCAAAGTGTGTGGCTATCGATGTTGGAGAATGTTCTCACGTCTGTATTTTTACTCAGCAGTAGAAATAGCTGAATCTTTTCTGTCAGTCTGGTTGTCTCGGAATGATTAATGGCTCACTAACGAGAAACTGAAAAGAGAAGGCGTTTATTTATTAAATTAACAAATTGTTAGAGCTGTTGTACCGTTGTTTTATTTCGCGGGACAAAGAACCTCCTCGAAGAAAATTCGGTTTTCGCAACTTGACGCAAACCACGGAAATTATGGTTGCTTGAAGATATCAGTCGTTACTTATTTCACAGTTCTCAGTTGTGAGAAATATCGTATGGAACTCTTTCAGATTCTTCCCATACGCACGAAAAACGCCTAAGATATCCGGAAATGCTGACCAGTTTGTGCACTGAGATAAAAAAAAAAAAAACTGAGAGTTCCAAATTACCGAGTAAAGCTTTTTTGGTTTAAAGATCTTATTGTGCAGGCTTTGAATAGTCTGGGCAGCAATTACTTGCTTTTAATTAGTGTCGGCACCGAGAACGGAAAGAATGGAATTACTTGTCCTCTCAATTAACATGTATTTCATCGTACACTGAGTCGACAGTTTACAAATTGCAACAGTCGATGAAAAGCGTTCAGGCTGATTTCAACGCTCATCTAGAAAAGTTTCAATGACGAGTCTATTTCTATAGAAGTTTCGTGAATCAAGTAACTGGTTCTTGCAAGAAAAGGTAATTTTAAACTAATATCGCTCAATAAAATGTTCTTTGTTTCCTGCTGTCCGCACACCCAAATCTAACAAGGTGTTATGTATATCCTCTCTGTTTTTGATAACCACATGCTTAAGATTAATAAGTATTTTTTTGTTGTTGTTATTCTTTGAAGTGCATTCCCACAAAATGGTTTGGAATTAGAAATCCAATTCATGTGTTTCCGGAAAAAAGTTATTTGATCCAAGATTATTACACAAAACCAAGGTGAGGAAAAGAAATCTTTGGTGGCGCGTAGGGATTTCGAGAAATAACATAAACATAGACAAAAATAAAAATGCTTGAATTGAAATCTTTAAGGCTTCTTTGTATTTTTTTAGCAAAAATTATGTAATTCACTTTAGAATCTAAAAATTTTGAAGTAAGAAAGACACATTCGCTAAGTCATGCAGATTTCAAAACTACGAGAAAATTTAATTAATCGTGATTGTAAATTTGAATTCACGAAGACATCATTTTTTTCACTCCACCTTGAAAATTGCAGTTTGAGAGAGTAACCCTTTTGCATCACTTGACATCCTGAAAGCTTGAATCTGATTTTCGCACATTAAAACTGACCTCAGCAACAAACACTTGGCTAAGGTTTCCAAGACAGATTACACACAGGATCGATTCCGGATCCTTTGGAAGAGATCGAAACTCGAGATCGGTTTTTTTCAATCAAAAATATAAAAAGCTTTTATTCTTTCGTTTATTAAAGTGATTTCAAATAATTTAGCTTTCATGTCCAGAAACTTACAATGAAAATAGTATGCATGCAAAATTGATAGTTTCCACTGGAGTTGGGTCAGAACTATCCATCACTAAATCTGGTAGCTAAAGGGAACTTTTCTTTGTGATCATACTAGATGTGACTGCTATCATATAAAAATTTATCTTTAAATTCACCTATCCATTCATATGAATATCATTTCGTCGTTTATTTTGTTACTTTCTTATAATGAATAAACATTAAAAAACGGTCAAAGGGTATTAACTATTTTTCTTGAAAATATGATTTTTTTAAAAAAACACACGATAGCAGGGAAAAAGCTTCGCTTGGTTTTGTCTGAAGATCATTATGACTTTTAATTAAGAGCATGAAAAAATTGAACTAATTCGTGCCGAAAAATTTCCTTTTTTGAAATGATCACACCGGTAACACCTTACACTGTTCCCATACCGGGAGTCGAACCCGGGTCGCCTGGGTGAAAGCCAGGAATCCTAACCGCTAGACCATATGGGATACGATAAAGGCCCTGAGTAATTTCCGCTGCTGTCCTCTTACTTCTGATGAAACATTTGATTTCTTTTTAGATCAGTTATGTTACTTGTTAGCTCAATCTTTTGGGTGTTAATTTATTTATTCAGAATAGAAAATTACGATTATAGCTCAGCAGACTTGGAACACCTTTTTGTTTATTTTAAAGCTGTTTACTTTTCAGATTATAGCACCATAAATTGGATTCTAAACCTACAATACTTGCCATTGCTTCAGGAAAATCTTGAGTATCCGGCTCAGACATCTCCATTTTAGACTAGAAATCTAGACACTTATTAATAAATATGTTCCCTGTAGACCCAGGCCTCCCCACTTTTGAGTCAGATTGGGAGCCAGTTAAAAGGTTCAAATGAGGTTGATCCAGACATTACACTCAACTTGGCTCCAGACGAGGTCAAATCAAAATAAAGTTTACACACATCAAGAGGATTGTAAATAGTTAAGTACGACTTGCCCTGAACCTTACAACCTTTAATAGCTCGATCAACTTTATGACCATTCTCTCTTAAAATATCCTTTTATCTCCAAACGAATGTTATCTCCACTTAAAGAGGAAAATGAGCACGTCACTAAGTCAATCGTCATTTTATACAGGACCCATGTTGCGTTTTTTTTTTACTTGCATACGAAAGAAGAAGATTGAATTAAATTTGATGAAATTGACTTAATTCTCAGCAATCTTCCGATAACGAGAGTTTCCATCAGTAAATGAATGGGAAAATCAGTTCAGTTCCTTGCTTACTTTAAAAAAAAATTGTCTATAGATACATTGTATGTATATTGCAAAAGAAAAAATTACTTCTTTCACCGTGAGTGGACCTGGGTCGACTGAGTGAAAACCAGAAATCCTAACCGCCAGACCATATGAAGTCGTGCCAACAGCAAACCGAGGGAATGGCAAGAGGGTGGTAAAAGTAGCGGTCAGCGGTAAGTATAATAGTATATTATTTAAAAAAGATTTTACATTTATATAAGATAATACTATTCTTGTCCTCTCAGTTTCCAATCCAAAAAGGAGAAGTGGTTTGTGACAACCGAAGAAAACCAACGAAGAACTATGCGCGAGAAGCAAAACCAACGAGTCATTAACTTGCATGTGTGCGTAACCTCTCCTCTCCACTCCACGCCTTTTCTGCTCCCACAAACCTTTCATTAAATCTTTTTTGGACATAAGATTCACAATATATATAATTTGAACATTCGTTCAATTTGTCGCATCTTTAGTAAGACTGAAAATTTGGCATGGGCTGCCTTAGGTGGCAAAAAGGAACCTTAGTCCTTCTCGTCCTTTAAGTTTGGGAAATTTGAATAAAAGCAAAAACAGAAGTTTAAAGTTCGTGATTTGATATACACTTAAATCTCAACACAAAAATAGGCAGGAAAAAGAAAATTGAATTGAAACTAGTTTAGGGCGTTTCCCATATCGGGCTGACTGGGTGTCAACTAGAGCTCCTACCCAGAAGACCTTATGCGAGTCACGACCCATGGCGAATTTTCCCAAAAATGATCCATGGAGCGGGGTGGTGGCTCCTACCACATAGGAAATAATATTGATTGAAAGAATATCACTTAATCCCATATGGTCTAGTGGTTAGGATTCCTGGTTTTCACCCAGGCGGCCCGGGTTCAATTCCCGGTGTGGGAACAGTATGAAAAATATTCTTTTTAGTTTACAATTCTATATAAACATCTTAATGGTTCAAGCAAGCTGATGGTCCCGATCAGAAGAACAAATTACTCGATGAAAGTGCTTTTTTTAATTGGTATAATTTAAGAAAATTATAAATTTTTATGACTTATTTGACCGTTTGCTACTTTTTCATTTAGAAAATGCAGTTTATTGGTGCACGGTAATGAACTTGTAAAAAAATTCCATCACTGAGTACATTTTCGATGGAGGTGTTAAGGCTCTGTATTTCCAACTTGGTGACCCTATTTTAGTTTGGCAGGTGGAGGACAAAGTCCTGCAACCAGGACAGTTTAATTTCCAGAATGCAGTCACTCTTCCATGTATTCGCCTCCACCCGACTGGCCAATTATACTGATAATTATTTGAATCCTTCTTGGTATAATTTCCCATATGGTCTAGCGGTTAGGATTCCTGGTTTTCACCCAGGCGGCCTGGGTTCGACTCCCGGTATGGGAACTGTTCATTTTGCTTTGATTTTCCGAAAAAAATCATTTTTCTTCATATAAATTCTACTCTTGATGCACTATTGAAGGAAGCTGGCTGGTGCTGCCATGGAGAACGAAGAATGAAATAACTCTTTGGAAACGGTATGAGAAGAACAAAATTATCACAATAGTACCATGGCCACTTTTTTGTAGCGTCTGATAGAAATTGAAGATTGCTAGACTTATGTTTTTTACCTAGAGTGCAATCTATGAGTAACTGAAGTCGTCACGTGGTATTATCACCCTCGTTTCCAGACCTAACGAGTTAAATAGGCGCAGAAAGCCTGACAATGACTCACGTTTCATTTAGTCGACGATATGAATATCACCGACACAGCACAGCATGGAAGATATCTACGGTATTTGCAGTGATCAGGAAATACGGTGCCGAGCTTGCGCGGACCCATAGACGCCATGACGCATTCCCTAAACTCGTGCGGGTTTTGCAGGGAACCCAACAAGGAACGCCCTTTCATATTACCTTACTGAGACTTCGGGTGGGAGGGCCTGTGGACTTCTCCTTTGTTTGGTCAAAGTTATTCTACTAGACTCGTCTGTTCTGACTTCTTTATTTTCTTTGTTTTAGGTGACTCGTAAACATAACAGGGTACTTCTGGGCTATTTTAAGACGTTTCCAATGTTATCCTAATACGAAATAATTCACATTTAAGAATATTTTTGCCTCTAATTTGGTTAAGGGATTTAAAAATTTAGAAGATTTGCTGCAAAATGATGTAATTTCCTAATTATTGTAGAGGAGAAGACTGGCCGTGTGATGCAAAAAATAAACAGCGTTTGAACAGCCTCTTTCAGAAAATGAAACTAACTGGATCAACTTACTACAACTGGTTAGATTTTTTACTTTATTTTTACGATAACAAGGAAGGGAAATTTCTGTGTCTTTTTTTAAGCGATCAAGAGGCCTCGAGTAATACCAATCAGTGGGTTTATAAGTCAATGAACGTTTTTTTCAGTCTTAACAATACGACTGCTGAACGATGTCCTCAAAAAATAAACGCTGACACAAATCGTTTGCGTAAATTACATATGGTCTCAAAAAAGCGGTTCTACTTTGCTCTGAAATAATTCTAAATACCATGTTACTCTTTTACATAGGAACTTCCTACACAAGACCAAACGAAACAAGAAGGTGTTAGTCAACAACTGACGAAACTTTAATCCAAATTAAGCTCTGCTTTTGGTCATACGGCTTTCTTCTTTACCTTCTGCATTTCACACCGCGGATGTCTATCGACAGTCGCTCTAATAACCTAGACTACTGATGATCCCAGTGGAAGACCTCATTTCAAAATACGCTCCTGATCGTCAATCGAACAGATACTGATAGAACACGTCGGAACATCCTTAAGCTAGCAGATGAGTATTTAGTTGAAATGTGTACTGATGTCAGTGTAAAGGAAAAAAAGTGAAGATCGAGGTGTGCCGATTTTTATGCAATAACTGTAAGTTTTCTATCGTTCATTTTCTTATACAGATATTCAGTTTCATTCCCAAAACTACTCAATAAAATATTATGGTAAACTCAGTCTCGTTTTTCTGATGGTCTAAAAGTCCAAAGGGTGAGGCATACGTAACTCTATTTTTCTTAGTCCGCCAAAGAATTTTACGAATTGGCTGAGCATTTGAATTCGATGTGAGAGGGAGCAAAGGAAAACAAAACGGGAAAGGTGGTAAATTTTGAACTCGGTCTTCGAATAAAGAAATATACATACATTCAATCTTTGCTAGGCTTTTTACGCACAGGGCTTCAAACATTGCCTATCCCAAAAGAATACAGGACGTGTGTCATAGATAAAAATAGTACAATAAGGTTTTCCTCTTTGTTTCATGCTCGCGGCAGATGCAATATTTTTCATAGAAATATTGGCATCTGTGATTTAATGGGTGCTTGTTTTCTTACCTTACTTCCCAGTTGAAAGGGTGTCAACTTTCCCCTCATTCAAATCCCTTTCTCTACAAGCTGCCATTATTTCGCTCATATAAAACCTTAAAAGGAAAAAATAAGATTTAAACGATTAAAAAGATTTCACCAATAAATATTGTTAGGACTTCACTTATTTAAACTTGGAAGTCTGTAATTTTTGTCCCGGATATAGCAGACGTTTGATACGAAAGGAAGAAAATTTTGGGATACCCACAACAATTGAATCGAAATTTTGAATTGTCATAAACTTTGAAATTAAAGTCAGTGTGGCATTCTCTAATTTGTTGTGCTGATCTCTTTTATGCTTGAACTTTGTTCGGTAGAGCACTTACACAAGCACCCTTTAGGATGCGGTTCTCGCCATTTTTATGTCCAGCTTGCAAAACGTGAAGACCTTACATCAACATTTACCACTAATATCATTTGCCCGACAAGTCTCGAGGTTTGAGTTGGTACACATCTAAAAGTAAACCTTGAAGCTTTTGATGATTCTGGTGAACACTCTCTTCAGAGTCGTGACACAAATTATGGCTGTACAGTTGATGGTTTTGCTGTTTAAAGCTGCAAATTTGGTGTTTCATATTTCGCTTGTATTGGGTTTCGGAGGTAAAGCTAGCCTATTGAATTCATGCCAATAAAAATTTTTGTCAGGTATGCTTTGGCCTCCAGGAAAGCTGTAATTCAATCCTGGGCCCCTCAGTGAAATTGTTTAGGCAAAGCTGCACCTTTCACTCTCGCCGCTAAATAGTTCTACTAGCTTGATTAAAAGGGAAATAGATTTCTCTGCGTAACTGTTCATGCATAACTAAAACTTTCTCTGACGATTTTCTGAAAGGTTTACAAAAATTTTTTTTTTCTTTTTTTCATCAGCTGTTCGACTTACGCGGAAAACCGCTCTTGATGATGCTTTCTAACAATTATCACAGAAAGAATGTATTGTTATCACGGGATGTTGTTTTCAGCACAATCCTCAAAATTTACATGTTTTGACAGATACTCATGATGTATTTTTTGTTTGCAGTTTTCTTGATGAGAATTTATAACGGTCAGTCTAAGATTGAAGTCTAATACCATCCTTTCGTTTCTGTTTCATTCCAATAAAGATATTTCATTTTAATCCAACTTAAACATACAGTTTCCACATATGGAGCGTGTCTTCAGGACATGCATGATATTATTAGCGAAAAATATGAAACGTTCGTCTACCCAATAGAGTTGCTCTCTACCTGATCTTGATAGAAAAATTATTAAGAATTAAAATCGGACCGAGACGTGGAGTACGAATGATACAAAATACACGAATCTTAGAATACATGTAAAGTTTCATCCAGTTGCAACCGACAAAGTTGCTCTTTCGATCTCGTCTATGACCAGCTAGTATGCTTTCAAATAATGTTAAACAAATCAATTTTGAAGCCACTACGATGCAAAGGTTTGAGGGTTAAGTTGAAAGAATGGGAGTATATGGGCTGCTGAAAGACAATGAGGTGAGTTCACATCCATAGTCTTAGGCTGGATCAACAATGGGGCTTTTAGACAAAGACAGTTGAAGAAACAAAGACCCACTGGGTTGCTATATCAAGCCTAGTCCATCAAATTGAACATCTCTCCAGAACAATTTGTATATCACTATAAATCTTAAAGGAACATTAAGTGATCGGAAAAATAATTAAATTAGAAGATTTTACCGACACTCTATTATCCAACAGAAGTGTCTTAGACCACGGTTTACCACCGAAGATAATTACCACGACAACTAACTGTATAATTAGCCGAAGCAGTCATCATGGAAATGTGTGTAGATGAAGAATTACCTGTTAAGAAGACGTGTCTCCTGACACCTTCCATTTCATAAACAACCGTTCGAAAGCTGTTGAATGCACGCGCCTTTTTTTACACCTTGTTAGAAAACGGTCATGTTTTTCACTTCGGTAATTTTCAAAAGATCCACTTATCGTGCTTCACAAGTAGTTTTTTCACGGCGAGTTACGCCAGAATAATATGAAAAGCATACATGCATGGGAGACTTTTAGTCTACTCCCACGTAGAGACAGGTTTCGGGCCAAGTAAAATCATAAATCAAGCGAATTACTTTGAGATGACATGCGCGTCACACGCAATACCTTATATGCTACTTACAACACTGGAAAGTAAATACTTAGATAAATATCATTTTACCAAAGAATGTTGAACGAATCCAAGCCACTAAAACCTTTCCTTTAGAAATAAAATGACTTAAGCTCATAGCATCTGTGAGAAAATTTCGAAAAAACGCCCTTTTCCGCGATTAGACATCTGGCCCCAAAATAGAAAAAGAAACAGTTTAGAAATTATTGCTATTTTTTAACAAAATACGAAACCAGTATTGATTGACATTGAATCACCATGGAAGCAAACTGTCCCATGAATGATTTATCATTTAACTGCTATGTTTGACTCTACTTCATATCTCTGTTTCATGTCCTTTCCTAAAGAGATTTTGGTTTTTATCGGCTCCGAACAAACCTGAAACCTGGGGCGGTGTTTCTCACGAAAGATCCAAGCTATGTCGAAAAAAAATTTTTAAAAAAAGATTGAAAATATTGTTGCAAAAATAAATCTAAAACACATTTTTAAAAGTTTAAAAACATCGATACTACTGCGATTCCTATTTTTTGGGTACAATTTCAATAGTACAAAGACTTTTGAAATCACGAGGCCAAAACTTTTAGGCATGGCTAATCATGCTGCGGTGGTTGTTTATTACAGCACTACATGGTTTACCATAAGGTCCAATATAGGATTGCACATATTCAAAGGGAAAATTTGCACAAATCTTTCCGTTTTGGAGGTAAATCCATTTCGTGATATAAAAAACCGATTTATGAAATTTAATAATGGATTGACAGTCAGGCGCAACACAGTCAGTTCTCAATGTGAAGTATTTGTCTCTGGGTCAAAAACTGTGACGTTTAGTCGACGTAAAATATGGTTTTGACTTCAAAGTACTTTAAGGGTTAAACCTATGAATAAAACACGCAGTAGGAAGTGAAACTTATACGAGTATTTCTTCGCATCTTGGTACGTGATACAGCACAACCCCTCGCTATTTTCGCATGCGGTTGGTGTATTCACAGCTTTTTCTCATATTCCCTTGGTGAAGACAATTTAATGACGAAACTCTATAATGTGAAAAGAGGAAAAAGCTATCAAGGTAACATTACTTTATAGTTATCAAAGGTAAAACTGGCATCGATTTGGTTGCCTGTAATATAAGTGTTAGCGGTATCACTCATAACTTTCAAAACTCCTTTGGTTGTTAATCCTTCGACATTCGACTGTCATACTGGGCGTGCCATCCCAAAGGTTTTTTTTCTTGCGAGTGATTGATTTTTGATCGGGTAGAGAATATTTTATCACACCTGCACAGACCTCTTTTTTTTTATATATCAAATTAAGCTTAATTATTTTAATCCTGAATACTGCTATATTTTAATGCTTAGAACAATCTGCTGCATGATTGCGGTTTGACGGTGTACATTTAGAACACAATCGTTCGTGAAATCACACCGAGAAAGAACTGGCCACCATTTCAGTCTGCAACAGGGAATGAGAAACTCACGGAACTGATTAAAATAGTATATTTAATGTCATGTCTTCCTCTTCAGTGCAATGAAAGTAAATTAGAGATTACACGGCCAAAGTGTGAAAAATAATTAAACATTTCGCAGCGGTACACAGGGCGATCTTTTCGCGAACAAATGCGAATGCTGTAAGCAAATTGTTGATGCGTACTCCGTATTCACCTTGTTTGTTCAGTTATGAAGATTTTCTCGACTCTGTTGGAAGCACGATAGGTTTTGCTGCTTTTACAGAGTTGTAGAAGGTTGTAACATTTAACTCATCAGTTTGGATGCACTGAAGGTTTTTACGCTGTCATATGAAATCGGAAATCGAGGACAACTATGTACACTGATACCCTGGGGAAAATGTCCCGATCGAGAAAAAAAAAATCCCTAATTGTATTAGTCAAAGGTGCTCGGGAAAATTTACCTTTAGCCGAAAAAACTCTTAAATGTGTCAGTTACTAACATATTCAACCACAAAAAGGACATTCGGTGTACGAATCGGCAAATGAACTCGGGATTATGTCTGCTGTTAGAGATCAACCTCTTTAGCGAGGCTGACATTTTTCACACCTCGGTAGAGATTTTGTTTACGGGCAATTACGCTTGTTAAAGGAGCTGCTAATCAGTTTCAATAGCAAAGAAACTGAATATTCTGTTATGCGGGAGCTACTGAGTTAGAACTGCCGTTGAATGTTACCGCATCTGGAAAACAAAACATTGTACACGAAGCATCCCCATGCATGAAAGAGAACTGTACAATAGGCTCTTCACAAAACACAGACAAAATTTCATATATTTGTATTCTCATTTGTTGCATAGTTTTTGCACAGTAGGAATTGAGGGGAAACTATATAAATCGATTCCCTCGTTGACACATTCAGCAGACATCTGAGATGTTTAATAAGCGAATGATTGCTGTGAGTCAAACCGTCTAAAAGAGCACGGAAAGCGGTGGATAATCCAAACTTCGGTCATTATCGACTCAGCAAAAAAAAAAAGGTTTTTCTCTCGAACTAAGAAACAATTGAATTAAGACTTTTTAATACAAAACTCTGCGCAGCTGAACCGAGATTTTGATCGGCTCTTTTAGATGAAAGAAAACAATGAAGGCATTGATTATACCTCAAGCGCACGTTTCAAATACCACTTTAAGAATACTTGCTTACGAACAACGAGTAGCCCATTCTCTAAAGATTTCAGATAGGACATAATACAGCGTTACTCTATCAAGTAAAAGATGATATTCAAAGTGTCACTTGTAATTTGTGGTGGAGTGAAATGATTTTTGTTTTGAACGAAAGTATGCTGTCGTTTTCACTAAAGGCTGACGCGATTTACTAAACAAAGAATATATCTGCTTGGTCTAAAACAATCAAACTATACAGATGTTATTTATCAAAGAACAAAAGGTTGTTTTGCTTCAGAAATAATGGTAAAAAGGCGGCTAAAGTTAAAAATATCTTGCAAAAATTAAGTAGCAGTTGGTTGATGATAAAACACAAACCCTCCAACTTGGTGGCGAAGAAGAATTGTGGCTCGTATTGTCGGAAGTTTGTTTAAAGAAAAACCCTTGATCTCTATCGATCCTAATCATGCAAATTTCTCGTTTTGCCTCGCAGGCATGAATGTGTCGTTGTATTAATTGTTTTTATTAAATAATTTGCTTAATCAAACATATAACTTCACAATGTCTTTACCACTCAGTGACCCTTGAACATGGCTTCATCAAAACACCGCTAATGATAATCACGAACAAACGCTCGAATGTCTTTTCCACAGTTATTTATTTGAAAAAATGTAGTCAAGGAGATGATTTTTGATTCCCTTACTGATGAAATAAATTCATTATCTTAACAGACTTAAGTCATACTTACGCAGTTGTCTTTGTGACAAAAGAGAAACCATTTTCGTGTAGAGGCACCTTTTGCCATGTACTAAGAGCGGAAGAGTCTATTGTATTTTGCCGTCTGGGTACAAAGAGATGGCCATAAGGCGCTCAGCAAGAGAGTGAATTTCATCAGTACCACGTTTATATTTGCCCAGTTTAAAGAACGCCTTGCAAACAGGAAGCTCTAATCATTGTTACACTCGAGTACAGTTTAGCACAAACTCGGCGGTGCAAGTAAAATATACTACTGAGTCCAGACTTTGGTAACTATAAATTTATTGTGACAATGAAAACGCTTTTTCACAAAACCTTTTAAATATATACTTACAAGTGAAAGAAATCTCGATAAATGGAGTTTTGCGTTTGAACAGCGTTTTTAACCACCGGAGATTTTAATCCCACTAAAGAGAAGTGCATAAGAAATTTAACACAAATTTCTTTGACTAAAATGCCGCCTCGTACAGCGGCATTCGATAAAACGACGAACGAGATTGATATTGAGTAAAGATAAAAACAAGTAAGTAAGAAGCGTAAACTTGGCTGAATATTCTTTGAAGATTCGTAAAGTGGAGAAGTTCGTTGGCGAGAAACAAAACGTTCAAAGTGACGCAGTGGAAGTGCCTTCGTGTCTCTGTTTAGACGAATCGGCTTAACACCTCATTTGTAACCCGTTGCTGTCTGACTCAATTCCTGAACGAGTTTTCATGTTTTACAATTATTTACAACTTCACAATCTTTCAGTGCTTGTTTGATCGTAAAGAACTTGTGACGAAAGTCGAGGTTATGTTATGCGCAGGCAAAGAAAGAGTTAAAATTGCAAATGTAGCGGAATAAACCTTTCGCCGTAATTTGTAACACTTCGATGGCTGTCTAACGCTCCATTCGTCCGACGCAAAGGAAGAGAAAATTTTTATACACCTTCAAGTCTGCTAAAAAGAGGATTACAACAAATTATAATTGATTATCTCTGAACGGGTGTATCTCGCCTATCTTGTACATCCTCGCCGCATTCCTCTACTTGTAGGAATCACGGGTTTGTTGTCCTTTTTCCATTTCATACGCCGATTTTGGAACCAAATTTTGATTTGTCGTTCAGAGAGCTGCAACATCGTGGCCATTTCTGAACGTCTCTCTTTCGTAAGATACCTCGTGAAGTGAAATTCTTTTTCTAATTCCAGAATTTGGTTTCTCTTGTAGGCCACTCGTCGGCGATGCTTGAAAGGTTGTTTATAATGCCATGGTACATCTCTCTCGTCTTCACCGTCTAAATATTTGAACAAAGTTGAATTCCATGAAAACATGTTTTCGCATATGAAGAAAAATTGTTTAATTCAAATAGATTGTAATACTGAACTTAAATATAATGAATTTAAATATCAGAGTTACCTTTTGATTTGCATGCAAGACTGATGCCAAGGGTTTTAAATATTATTTCACCTTTGATTTATTCTATTTTCCATTCAAGTTGACCCGTAAGTAATTGAAACGATTGCACTATCAAATTCGTTCAAACTTCAAGTATACAATTAAACGTTTCCTGAAACTTATCTACTTAGATGCCGGCTGAACTTGACTCATCGTCTTTTTAACAACTAAATCTTCCGTTTGCTCACCTGTTTTGTCTTCTGATTCGCTGGCATCTTTGGCTGATTGGCAAACATCATCGTTATGTTCAGTGGATTCGTGCGTGTCTGTAGAAGTTTCGCTGGGTGATTCTGGAGGAGTTTGAGAGCCGACCGAAACAGGACTGGTACTGCTTTCTGAGTTTGTCATTGGGTTTGGAATGCTTAGAGGAGGGCTTGCAGATATTACCGGCGGCCTGTGGACCTGAGAGTTACGATTTAGCGGGAAAAACGGCGGGGAATAGTAAGAAGGAACACCATATCCATACATAACCGGTGAAGTGTTGAAGTAAGGAGGTGGTCGAACTCTCTGATTTGCTTGGTAAAAGCAGTCCATAGTACGCTCGCGCCGTTGTGCTCAAACGAGTAACTCAAGATAGGAATGACTAAGGCACCAGTCTGGCGAGAGCAATATTCGCTCTCGCTGTGGTCATAATTTAGTGCTGTAATTAGATAGCCAGATTAATTACATGATTGGCTCCTTAACAAATATGTGACGTCATCGCTATGCTGACTTGGTAAACTGCTGGCGCCGTCGATGCTGCGCGTGCAACAGACCGAAAGAGTTGACACAAATGGGTGATAAATTTAATTAAAAGCCTTCATATAATCTCTTCGTAGATAAATTATAAAGGCGTGGAAAACAAAAACGGAATATTCGAGTTTAATGAAATTTATTATAACAAATTTCTTATCTCATTCATATCGCAACAAATGTTGATTCTCGTTTCGCAAAAATTTCGGACGGGTGGCCTCGCTGAGCACACAAGGTCTGACAAGAAAGGTAAATTTTTAGCACATCATAATTTCAAAAAACATGGCATATCATCTGCATTTTTAGCAATTCATGGTGCTACTCAATGAGAGAGAGGAACATCTTCAATGCATTATTTATGCAGCTTCCCAATCTTACAACCCCCCTAAAAAAGACAGTTATATGGAAATAAACATATTTTTGTACAGGACAGAAAGGCTTAAAATATCTGTTACTAATCGTTGTGTTTCTTAGAGAGGTTCCAGTTGTCATAGCTGGTTGTTAACAAGAGTCGTGTGTATGGATGATAAAAGATCCCCACTAACCCACAATCGGAAACCAAAAAATGCATGCTCTGAAATGACGCGTGCGAATGAAAGCTGCAAAACACAACAAAAAAAGTTTTCTTTTGGTCCAAAGTTATAATTAATGAGTGTTATTAAAAGGAGATATGGATCTAAACTCAGTTCAGCTATTCAAACAGCACCTTTATTAACTTGCGATCGAAGAAAGAAGACCGCGACATTTACTCCGAACCTGGCGCGTAATTCATAAATCAATAAACTTGCTTGCATGTTCATTTTCAAGTGACACCTTAATTCAATGAGCGCTCAATCCAACTTGTTTGTAATATAAATTAATCGAACTCCTGAACAAATTCAGTGCTAATTTGGACAACGAGAGCCAAATTTATTTACGTATTCACTTTTTTTCACGGGTGACTGTCATGAAAGGCTGCATGATAAGCAAAAAAAAGACGCTTGGAAACTTGTAAGATGTCAGAACAATTTCCAGTTTTTGACAGGAGCAAGAACGCTTTAGGGAAGACGGAGCGTTTCCTCTGAGACTCCATAGAAGTGTGACGGTAATTTTAGTCGTCTAAGGAGACTAGATGTCCTGGAAATAGTGCGAATAGCCGTTAATCATGTGTGAAAACTAATGAGAAAGGAGACTAAAGTCGAGCGCGTGTAGCGCCGACAAACTGACATGGTCTTGCGGTAGAAAAAAATTTGAAAAATAGCCAATGAGCATCATCCATCGAAATGAACTACTTTGAGAGAATTACTGAAGGTTTTCGATTAAAAATAAAAGGATGTGTTAGTGATAATAATTCTGCTTTGCAGGTGAAAGTCATAGTAAGTCTAAGCTTCAAAACAACCCTGGATAGGGAAAAGCTTAACATCGATGAAGAAAAAAAAACCTGTTTTTTATTTCGCGTAATACAGATAAAAAATGACAACAAAGGATGTACCGAAGCTGTTTTTGCGATCACTTTCTTTTAGTTTTTTTCGGTTAGATAATACTGGCAATTCCAATCCGTGAGTCGATACCCAGAGCTCGACAAAGGCAACTGGACTCTTTTGTAATCTGTTATGGTTTTCTCTGTTTTCAAACAGTACCCTGGGTGCATTCAAGGCACGGACACTGCGGCGCCGGGGGTGGGAAGAACTTCATACGGGCCGCAGCGGGAACAATTCCCGTCGGTCTTTTGTTTTGGCCACGCAGCCATTCATCAAACCTGACTGAAACACGGAGCTCGTTTATTAAAAACAACTTTGTTGAGATCATGGAATGGGTTGGCTATTTACTTATCGCGTGAGTCTTCACCACAAGAAAACTTTGGAAACATTCGCATTGTGCGAAGTCAACCAAGCTTGGAAAACGCAGAGATTTAGTCCCACCGGAAATGCACTAAACGGTCGCCATCGCTTTAATCGCTCTATGATTTCGTCTCATTAGAGCTTAATAAATTACGTATCACTCCATCACATAGGACATGTTGTTAATCGATCCATGTCCCGCTCAGCGTGCGCCTGTCAAATGGTATACTGACCCCTTAAATCAAATGTGCTGCGAATTGTGTTCATAATTCCTTTGAAGTTTCATCCATACGTTAATATAAAGTGTTACTCTTGTTTTCGAAGTGTTTTGAAGTCATTTATTGTTTTATTCATGTAAAGAGTCGCTTAATTAATGAATAAAAACACAACAGCGGCCAGGCACAGTTCAGTGACTTAGGGAAAACTAAAAGAGGCATTTATTCAACATAATTTAGATAGTGTCACAAATGAAATTAACCTAAGCTTCGATGATCCTGAACAACAAATGAATTCTTGAACAAAAAACCACGGTCAGATCGTCAGCTGTGCCACGCAGGTGCTTTACACTAGTTTCCAACCTCGACAAGTTTCAAACTGGTGAGGAGATGCGCACAAAGTCTAAGAGTTCTTATTGAAATCATTCAATCATTGTCTCTATGGCATTTATAAATTAACCAATGCCTTTGAAGTGTTAAATATAGTCCTAGGTAGAACGCACTCTAATGTGAAACTTTTAAACTTAAAAAAATGTACGACAATTTTAAGCATAAAAGATTTCATGTGCCAACAAATCAAAAGTTATTTGACCAACTAACCTCTACTACAGTTCCTTAATGTTTTCAATCTTCACACAGGTGAATGAAATGGCTATTCCAAACATGTTATTTTTACTCTCTATAAATACCTCATTTCCGTAAAACCGGCTAAGTATTTCCTAATCGACTTTTAGTTCTAGCTTATCCAGTTTACTCTCTTGTTCAGATACAAAAAGGGCAGATTCCTATTTTTCTACATGTTTCCTTTTGTCGGTCTATACCTTAAAAAAACAGATTTTTGTGGTGGACGGAAAAGGTACAAATATCTTCAAGGGAAATAGGATACTGCTATGAAAATTTAGAGCATTTAAAGTAAGCCTGCATACTTCAGGAAGTGGGAATTTATCCGTTTCCTTTCCGGAAATTTTTAGAAATGAACCGACATTTTGCTGGATGACAAAGCTTATTTCGTGAATAAAGAGAACTTGAGGCCCTGATGGTAGGAAAATAAACTTCTCAGTGGAGAACAGACCCAGCCACCTATCTATAATTCTTGTTCGCGTGACGACATTCCATTGGAAAAAATAGACTTCAAAGTGAATGGGTCATCTATTAACGGATTATTGTACTTCCAAAATTTAATATGCGCCCTATGAATGGTCGCTGAAAACGTGTTGGCGAACTTTTTATCTTGCATTGACGTCAAAAAGTTTTATAAACTTGAGGAAATCAGTGAGTCAACGTGCTACTGTGATTTGGTGAATGGAGATGCCGAGACTGAATCAAAATAACAGCAAGACATTATAAATAGTTTATAACCTCTTGATTGCAATCAGTGTTTTACCAAAACGGTTTGTTTTTTTTTTAACTATCTGTCGTACTACTTTTTCACTCATTTCATTTTTGATCTTTGCATCAAACACGTCGAATCACTAATTTCGTAACAACACCTATACCTTCCATCTACTCTCCCTCCGCCCATGATTTCGGCCTAAATTGAAATATCACAAAAAGTGATAAGATTGGGTAAGAGTGGATAATGTTTTAGTTCGTTTGATCCATTTTTGTATTTTAAATCGTTTAAATGGTCAGTGACTACATAAGTTTAGAAGCAACGTCCACAAACGTGTTGTGATGCAGCAGGATCCATCATGTCAGAAAAAGAATCAGCAATAGAAAAGATCCGATATATTTGCAATTCGTGTTCAGATGAGGGTTTTTTTTTTTCATTCTATCAGATTGCCCCGAACGAAAAGAAGGGTTGAGTGGATAAAAGCGACAAAAATTTGTGTGGTGTTCGTTGTCATCAAAAAGGTTTCCAAGGAACTTTCCGGAAAATTAGCGAGTCCTAATCACTCGATGCCATGGCAAATAATTTTTTTTATAAGAAATCTAGTTTTCACCAGAGTCATAACTATTGTTAGATCGGGTTCCATCGTAGGGGAGAGAAGCTTGTTACCGCACACAAAAAATCTCCCATACGACATTTTTCCAAGTCATTTATATAGCTTACAACAACTTATGCACTGAATTGACACTTATAACCAAGTACAAAAAATAAATTCTTAAAATACCAGTCACCTCCCTTCCAAATTTCTTGGTGATATTTTGGTTTTAAATTAAACCCATTGGTTCAAAACCAGGAGCTCATCACTCCTGTTCAAAACTAACTTTTTTTCAACAATTTACACACGACATCTTTGTTATTGATTGAAAATCATAACATAACCTTTTAACCGATCGTCATTTTTGAAACAAACATTTACACTACAAGAAACCTTCCCCGCTTGGCATGCCCTCTTTCTTGTGAAACGCTTGCTTTTCTTTTTCTTGCGGCTGTCTTCAGTTTGTTTACAACTTGGGCCATGTCTTCTGTGGAGCAGTAGAAAATGTAGGTGGGCCATTCATCACAGCCCTCTCCGTATGTAAACTTTTTCTCCACTAACCGCATCCCAGCTCGGCTAAATAATGTCTCTAACACAGGGAAAACTGTTGGGCAAACCACATTCAGTCCTTTCTCGAGCGCATAGCTAAAAGCGGAATGAAGAAGCAGCTGGATTATGCTTGGTTGTGTGTTTCTGTAATCCTTGACTACCGCCCCTCGTTGCACTTCCACTAACGGTTGGTCAGCCTTTGGGCGGAGAATTCTCTTCATGGACGGTAGTTGACTGGCTGGGTACAATTCAAGGTCAAGCTTTCCTAAAGAGTTGTTCCGTTGGACTGCTCGGGTAACTCCGATCAGGCTATCTCCTTTGTACGCTCCAAACCAAACAGATGAGTCGTCAAAAGTATCGCAAAGGATAGGTTTGTTTTGGTCGTCTTTATCGATACGAAAACCTGTCGGACTATCACTACGAAAATCCCAGCCCATCTCACTAATATACACCTCGTATAAAAGACGTCTGGCTGCATTTATGGCATCATAGTCGCTCAAAATTCGGACGAACAAGTCCATCACTGAATCCTCAAAGCTTTGCTGTACCAGGGAGAAATTCTGATGATTAATTGTGTTTTTGAAGGTGTTCAGCGATATTGACAGGTTGTACAGGATCTTGAGGTAGTTATAAACCTTACATCGCGCACTCTGAACTTTCCCGCCGAAGTTCAGTAGCGATGACTTTGCACGTGCACCAGAGAATGTCTCATTGGTCATTTAGGAACCTTGTTCCAAATTTGGAACTGAGAGCACGTGCATTTTCTGAGGTTTACGTCAACTCAGGAGTCTTGTGACCTGAGGCTTGGCAACCGAGAGCCTTCCCGACGGAATGTGCGAATTCTGGTTTATCAAATTTAGAACCTATCTCCCGAATTGTTTGCCACTGGAAAGGAAACTCTGTGACAGAAATCTTTGAGTAAACCCACCAGAAAAGTACAACACACAATAAGCAAAAGATAGTTCTGCCAGCCATGACTGCATTTGAACCTTACCAGTCTAGCAATTCTGCTGTGAATCAAAATCAATCATTTGTGAGACCGTTAATCCTAATAGAACCAGCATTATCATCCCACCTGCACGCATCTATTTACTGTCTTTGTTTTTTGAATATTTCTCGCCTCCCTTAATCTGATTTTGCGTCCTGCAACAGACACCTGTGCACTCAGTCTAGCACAATAAACAGACTCTCCCCCGTTGTATTTGTTTGAGGAAGACAATTGTGCAGTCAAACTTGTGACCCACTATAACATTCATGGGCTCTCGATAGGACAGCATATATTCAAATTGGTGTTAAACTTAAATGCTGTGTTAGCGATGTGATATGTTATACGGATTATAGCCTTTCTCTTGTATCGACCCACAATCGAGGGCCGGTTACCAGTGTTTTACCGCCGCCTAAAAAAAAACACCTCCTACCGCCGCCTGTTCAGCTTGCATTGCGAGCAAGCTCTCGTGACAAAGTTTCGCCTTAAGCCACAGCCGCGTATAATGCCATCGGCAGCCGCTCATGGAACATTTACTGAAACCCCAACAGGCAATTCTCATTGGAAGTGTGTTCATAAAAACCTTTTCAGCCTAGAGGGATTTAACGTTGTAATAAAATTTTCTGTTAAAAAAAAAAAAAAAAGATGTGACTTTACTGCCGAGTCTTTCGACACTAAGTCGAACATGCAAAGAATGGTTTCATTCAAATTCAAACTCGTTTCTTTTGTTTACTATTGTCAAGAGTTTGTCTCACGAGTTGAATAAAGAGCTGTACTGATGACTGAAACTCGTGACTGTTGTTAAAGCAACTGTGTAATAGTTAATCAGTATGCGTAAATGGCCGCTACTGTACGGACTGGTACTGAATGAAATTGACAAAGTGAATAATGGTTTACTCTGGGCAAGCATGATTTGGTAACTCGAAAATTCGACGGGCTTTAGATTTTAGATGATTTCTTATAATAATTATCTTAAATTTGCCAAAAGGACTGTGAACAGATATTACCAATTAGCAAAGCGGAATCCAAGCGACGGAAGGCGACTGAAAACCCACGTGCAACTCTGCGCTCGGCCTCAGGCTAGTAACAGATCGGTTGAAGAAATAAAGGGAGTGTTTTAATTTCTTTGCAATATCAAGGATAATTATACCAAGATAAAGAAGGAACTTGGTAACTTATATAGTGGTTTTGGTTTCCTATACGTGTGTCATAATAAGGACTTTTTCTCACTTTTAACCTTTACACCCTAACATCAGTATGCATATTCTCCATAATGTTCTCTGAACCTTTCCCATGGTGCTTACATGGAGAATTTTTTATTAACGATAAACGTATTTTAGTGATCATTTCCCTTTTTTCTCGTGAACTTAATGTTGGATTTAAGGATGATATTGCAAAGAGAAATTACAAATTTTGAAAATTTCCGAAATTTAGAGAATTTTAAAACAGCCATTGATTTAAAATGCATTAACGTGTCTCGCTGAGTTTAATTGTAAAACAACAGACCTGGCACTATACTATTTACTATTCTGTAATTTTTTTATGTTTTGACCATAGGTTATGCATGCATAGTTATATGTAAATTTCAAATGAACATGTCCCTAACATTTTTTGGTACTGAATTGCTAAACGTACTCTTCGTCCAGCCGAGACACAAATTTTCTGTCAGTCTCTACTGACTTTTTGCCGCTCAGACAGCGTAGTTGGATCGCATTAATCAACTGCCTTGTACACAGATTTTACCTCAGAAGAAAATAAAACTGGCAAATAATGGAAGAGGATTGTTTTTTGCTTTCTTTACGTGTCATATTGTTTTGTTTGTTCATTTCTTTGTTTATCTTATGGCTAATTGTTGTAAAAGATAAACATTAAGCTACAAATGTTTTAAAATTACATTAGCCGTGACCCCCAAGGAATCTGAGGTGCACCTTGCTTGTGATATGCTTCGAAAATATTATTTTAGATCAACAGCTATTTGAATCATGAACGACAAGTTTGAGAGGCTCATTTCAGGTAAAATTTTACGCTCCCCTCTCCCCCTCCCTCCGCGATTCATCGCGTACTGTTGTTCGCGGTCGCGCAGGATGTAAATGAGCCTACAACTCACACACGCTTATTTTCTCACTACTTACACGAGTCGCAAAATTTAAGAAATTTTCTCTTTGTACAACACACAGAAACAGCGAATGATAGTATAAAGAGCTGGAAATACGCTGAAGTCATCAACAAGTTATCTCGGAACGCACTAGTCACAAATTCATGGCTTTTTTTGTCTTCTGTGTAGTTTGTATTCATGATAGATAGGCCGTTCTGTTTGAAAATTGTTTGGAGAAATTCTATGTCGATCACCTTTAAGTATGAAAGGATTAACGGATTATAGCCTTTTCCTAAGTACAATGTCAATCATTCCCTTTATCAGGTTGAACAGCCATCTTGACTGTGTCGTCCGTTTGACGGACAGAACAATTAAAGTGCGATTCTTTACCTAATTGAGGGGTAATTCAAGTGAAACCTCGATTAAATCGTACCATTTTCGCCTAAAACATGGAAAAACGTGGTTCTTCACTTTCGCATTCAATAAATCGACTTCTAGGCCGCCGGACGGATGATACGCACCCCGACAGAATGAAAGCGTATTCGTCTAACCTACCAGTATACAATGAGAACAGAAAAGACATACCTTTGGCAGTCAGAGCGGAAACCGCCGGACATGCCAGATCTTCATCACCGAGCCAAGCGCAATGTCAAAACATCTGTGTTTTCCCCTGGATGCAGATTCGCAGGGGGAAACGTGATAAAAAGAAAAGAACGAGTAAGTCAATCTTCAGTTGTCTTCAGTAAAAATGTCATGTGACTATCATTTGAACCTTGTTAGCACTGGCAGACATTTACACGACAGTTTGCTTGTCTTGTTAACAAGCTGTCTTTAGTAATCAGAGAATAGGTTTACCCAGAAAATCTCAGATCAGCTTTATGAATCCACAAAACGCAAGTTTAGTACATGCTGCGCAGTCCCTGTTCAAAAAATATTGAAGTGATGTGGCACACTTGAATAATCATTTATCGCCGCCGATTTTCCTGTCGCAAAACAGTCCAAGCTGACAAACTACTAAAACATACATTACCCAGTGCAAAATTCGTGTGCTCCATAAATCTTGCATGTTCTGATATGATCATAAAACTGTAGACAATCTTAGTAAGACGTAAGGATTTGCTTCCTGTGATCGTCATTCCTAGAAATCTCTGTACATTCGTCTGAGTCATTCTTCTCAGCCTTGTGGAGAGCAACACTCGGAGACATGTGTAAAACCGTCGATTCACTCAAACGTATCTTCGATAATCACCGTCAGAAACAAGAACGAGTAAATCTACCGTACTGCGCAAAATATTTAGTTCTGATTCTCGAATATGCAAATTATTAATTTGACACCTCTCTCGTCGGGGATACCTATTAGCAAACAGAGGACACTAAGTCTTCCTGTTTATAAATGCCTTCATTGTAATAATGTTGATTTTTACCACCGCTGTAATTAAGTATCAAAGATACCAGGTTTTTGTTTGATATGTGGTTTGATTTGAAACGATAAAACTGCGTCAGATTACTTCTAACCTCCAAACTTAGGACCACATGCAACGAATGGGTGATCATAAATCCAACTTCTTCAAACAATTTCAACAGATTACAAGGTACAAGGGTGAGGAGAAATTTTAATCACATCAGCTGGTTGTGACATGGAGTTTTATAAACACACATTTACCGGATTTGCAATGTTTTATTTGTAAACAGAATTTTTATTTGAATGTAATTATTCGCATGACAATCGGTCTGCCAGGTGATGTTCACGATCTTGTTGACAGTTCCCTTACGACGGCTAACCATGAACCTGGGGCTCAGCAGAAGAGAGCAAATGCATCATTAATAATGTAAAGAAGAAATAACGTGCTTCTGATTGGCTGAAAATGAGTGCATTCTCATATAGCGCGAGCGCAAAGTTATAACACGAGTGCAAATAACAAATGCAAAAATACAAATACGAATACAAATTACGAACGCTTTCAAAATTATGTCTGTCTAGCCTTTCTGTAATGTTTTTTCGTGTAAATTATTAAAACATGATTTAGAGTGCAATTTGGTGTAATTTTCAAAGACTACAAATCGCACTCGCCCCACTACGGAGTCGTACAATTTTGTTGTCTTTGAAAAATTTACTCGTACTTATTAACACCAAATTACACTCGACATCACGCTATCAGCAATATTAAGTCTGGAAATCACGCGCTTTGAAGAGTACCATAGACCCTGTAATAACAACACCCCTCTTT